AGTACACTGGTCAACAGTGAAGAGTACACTAATAATGAACAATAAATAGTACACTGGTCAACAGTGAAGAGTACACTAATAATGAACAATAAATAGTACACTGGTCAACAGTGAAGATTACACTAATAATGAACAATAATTAGTACACTGGTCAACAGTGAAGAGTACACTAATAATGAACAATAATTAGTACACTGGTCAACAGTGAAGATTACACTAATAGTGAACAATAAATAATCTCTTTAGTTTTATAGCTCCTACAGACAGAAATAGATATTAAAATAAAAGCATTAATTTCTTTTATCGAACACAAAATTCAATAATGGTATATTAGTCTATTTCTTAAATAATTAATAAATTTTTTGTAAAGTTTATAAAAGCAAAACAGATGTATGTCAAGGTGTGCTCAAAATTCTAAGTGACAAGACATAGCAACTGGACATATAGCTTCATTTAAGTTGGACAAGAACAATAAAATTAACATTCCTTTACTATGTTGTGCTTAACAGAACGATAACAACGATTAACTGTAGGATTATCTATTGTTCTGGAAATCAGATTATTATATCAATACAAGAACTTCATTCTTCAAATAATAGGTGGCAGTAGAAGTAAAATAATGTTAAATAGAAGAGTTTAAAACAATCAAACTACTTGCTTTATACCTACCGAAAATATAATATTTTTTTTGTCCTGATTAACAGCCCTTACATCTGGAATAGCATCGGTATGTTTGATCACAGATACAGATTCACCTAACAAACAAGAAAATGTTCGTGAGTCAATATGGCATCGGTGTGTTTTATCACAGGTACAGATTCATTTAACAAACAAGAAAATGTGAGTCAATATAGCATCTGTGTGTTTTATCACAAGTACAGATTCACCTGACCAACAAGAAAATGTTCGTGAGTCAATATGGCATCGGTGTGTTTTATCACAGATACAGATTCACCTAACAAACAAGAAAATGTTCGTGAGTCAATATGGCATCTGTGTGTTTTATCACAGGTACAGATTCACCTAACAAACAAGAAAATGTTCAGATTCATCTAACAAACAAGAAAATGTTCGTGAGTCAATATGGCATTAGTATGTTTGAGCCAGTGCTTGAAGTGGAGAGTAACGCGAGGGGTACACGTACTCCCACTTTTTGTGCATCTTGATTAACAATTCCAAACAATAAAAAATGCTATCACCATTTTATGCGTGAGGGTACCTCCACGTCAAGCACTGGTTTGATCACAGGTTCACCTTACAAATGAGAGACCTTCGAGCATCAACATGAAATGGAAAATTTAATATACAAACAAATTAAAGTTTCCCTCAATATATCTACATAAGCATCAGATTGTTGGTATTAACTATTAGTTCACTGACATTTTACCTGAATCAAACAAAGGAGTCAACAAAACCTACTGCACATAAACAAGATATTTTATAATCAAAGCAATCCATAAATGTGAAAAAAAAAGCTAATATATTCACTCTATGTATATTAGAAGACATGTGGTAACTAAAACTGGTTCTGTAATGTGTAAAACTAATATATTCACTATGTATATTAGAAGACATGTGGTAACTAAAACTGGTTCTGTAATTTGTAAAACTAATATATTCACTATGTATATTAGAAGACATGTGGTAACTAAAACTGGTTCTGTAATGTGTAAAACTAATATATTCACTCTATGTATATTAGAAGATATGT